TAAGAAAGTTTTCCGTCTGACTTATTACATAAAGAAGTTGAGGCACTCAGGTATAACCCAATCTCTTATACAATTTATTAATTCATGTGTTTTGCCCATCATTCTTTATTGTTCTCCATTATTCTTCCCTGGGCTACTCAAGAAAGACCATATAATACTACGAAGAACATTGAAGGCTGTAAGTAGGGTCAGTGCTATCCCTTTGACTCAACTAACCGACACTGTTGTCAATAGGCACATGAATTCTTGTAAACACTTAGCTAAAGTTATCTTGTCTGATAGTGAACATCCTCTTTATTCACAATTGTTTCCTTGCATCTCTTCGGGTAAGACCAGAAGAAATTTCATAAACATTTATGCTCGTACTACAAAATATAAAAATTCGACCGTACCATATTTGGCACGTGTATTGTGTGAAGAGACAAATATCAGAAAAGAACTCTTACAACTTGTAAATCATTAACTAAACTATAAAATGTAATGATGCATATTATTGCATGTGTTATTTGTTATATTATTTATTTATTATTCCCTATGACCTAGAAATGGTGTGATTTTGTTGGGGTTTTTATTTTTTCCTATTAATTATCAATATTTTTAACATTTCATACATTTATATAATTATAAAAAGAGCTAAACCAATGCAATATGTAAAATGAAACGCTGAAAATTCCATGCTGTAAATTGTTATTGTTGTGGAATAAAGTGAATTATTATTATTCACTGAGCTGAGTGTTTGGATCGCGAAGTTGTCATTATCCTTTTTCAGTAGTGAGTTCATTCTCCTAAGCCACAAATCCCATCCGTCATATATATACATATATATATTTTTCAGTACCCAAAGTTATTTTCCTTTTTGGTGGTGTTAATTGGTATATTAGGTAGCTCATTGCTCCTATTGGAATTTCTGGGCTGACAACAGTTTCGTTTATAACTGTTTGGCATACTGCTTAGGATAGTGTAAGCATAAGTATAAGTTTGGTCAGAATCCAAGAATATCGACGAATCAATCAAGCATCCACTTTTGTTAACTTTGAATTACTAAGTTTTTGGTGCTAACTACCTCATGTCTGCTTGCTAATACAGTTGTGAATTTCTCATACCTATTGTGTAAGCGATTTTTATTCACTCGGATTTCTCATATCTCAGTGAAGTGGAGGTCAAATCCGTTAGCCAATATATAAATAGCAATTGCTCCAGTTGACCACTTGCATCAAAATCATGTCAGCCAACAATTAGTACTGCATATCTCCAACTTATGATATATATAAACAGCAATCACACAGAGGTCATACTGTAGGCTACTGATGAAGCCATGAGTGGATGGAATTTTTCGTCACTACATGCTTATGCACACATTTCACTAAATTAATATATTTCCATCTGTTTATAACGTTCATCTAGGCATTCAGAAGTATTGAACTCTTGTAATACCTCAAGTCTATTCTTTAAATCTTCGTAATTTAAGTTGTTGGATGTGGATACTGGAAATGTCAGTAGTTTAAATAACAGTTGTTAATCAGTGATCTCATTCATAAGACAAGTAGATATTTGAATGTATCGAATACCGATAACACATACTGCTATAAGGCGTAAGTAATCCAAACCTATTATGATCAATTAGGTCAGGAAATACTGAAAAGCTGGAGGAATTTCTTTGACCAGGTAGTGTGGTATTCAGCACCTAACAGCCCACTGGATAAATGCATATTCTTCCCGCCTCCGGGGTAAGATATACATATTAAGAATCTAGTTGGATAACAACTCTATATTATATGCATGAATTTGTCAAACATTACTGTAATACACTGGTGGACAATATTTCTAGGATAATTCATTGTTGTTTATCGTGTTGTTGGCGTTACACATCTCTGACACTCGATTTGTATAGACCTAAGATTTTTTTAGTGTTTCATTTTTAGCGTCGCTAAAATACTCGAAATATATAATGGATTGTTCTTGAAGTATGTATTCTGTACTGAGTGGATAAACAAAAAATCATTAGCAAACAGTCAGTTGAGCGAAAAGATATATTCCTTTTCAATTAGTTATTCATCAACGATTCTACACTAGTATACAGTTTTTTTAAATAATGCATATAAATTACACCAGTCAAATGATGACGTGTTGGTCATTAGAAAATATCAACTTTGAGGTGTAGGAGAGGTGTTGATAGTTTCGGAAATAAAGATAATGGTTAAAAGATAAGGCCATTTGAAACAATTATACCATTAATTACTAGAAGTTAGCGACAGGATATTTTATAATCTATAGTTCATAAGATAATAGTAATTAATTAGAATAGGCAGGTGAATCTGTAAATAATTTCGTAAAGAAAGTTAAATGCGAAGAAGTCAAGAGAGGTAGCTAAAATGACAATGGTCATACAGTGTTAAGAGGTTTGGAGAAGCAGTAATCCATAACATCTTATACGTGTTGTTTAGACGGCCACCATAAAGAAGCGGACTGTATGAATTTCCTTTGAACACAGGGATTTGATCTATTCAGATAAGTAGTGCTTACTGCTGATGCTTATAAAAATTGGGTTTGTGGAGCAAAAGTAAGGTTATACGGAATATGATGAATAATTTCAAAAACTCTGTTCATGTCAACTTAGATGCTTTTTCAGTAACCTGAGCTAATATAGAACTAAGTGTCTATTTAATCAGTCTTTTGCCCAATTATGATGAGTGGTGTTCGGAAACTGAATGATAGACTTGCGAATAATTGTCTCCACGGGTGATAAACGGGAAAATGTGTTCGAACAAATCTCAGTCATTTTTGCAAATCAACTTTTATTGAATTTCATTTTTTTAATTCCTCCAGACTATGTTTCACTTCAAGAAGTGATTAATTTTTAACGGGGCATTTTGTGGGGTGAAAATCTGCTAACATATCAAAATCTAATCTTTTCGAAATGTAATTTGTTGATATTTATGTTATTGTTGAGACGATAGTTTATAAATTCCAGAGATATGCATCAGTGAAGCCATCATGTTTATTAAAAATATCACTACTTAACAAAGTATCGTATTTCGACGAACCTGTGACTGAAAACCACACCAATAAGCCATTTTTATGAAAACTAATGAAGTCACTAACACAGAAGACATAATGCATTATAAAACCATTCCAATATTCTTATTATGTTTCAGTGCATATAATTCATTTACACTGTTCCTTCCTGAAGCGCAAAACAAGACCTACTGATGCATAAAATTCTGGAAAATTTACTTCCGATTCTTTTTTCATTCGAATATTATCCTAATCAATTTTAAAATAATTTCATTTAACGATGGAAATTAAAACAAACTACAGTGTGTTCGTAAGCTTTATTTCTCCCATTTGTTTGTGTAATAGAAAAATAATAATAATAAATGTGAAATATAATATTTGCGATAGTGTATTATACGTAAAGACCCATGAACACTTCGGGGAATAATGGGTTTAGTGAATCCATATTCGACTTGAGAAGTGAGGGCTAAAAATATATTTTCACATACCATTGTATATGCAAAAATTTACTTAAATATTCGGTCTGGTTAAAATATTTGGTGGGACAATGTTGTAATTCTCTGTTTATTCATAAAGCAAAGAAATTTTAAAAAATCATGCATTTTAATAATGAATGTTCACTTAGATATAGTATCAAATGCTTTTATTTGAAACTTTGATCTAGTGTGAAGACACTGGACAGAAGATAAGAGTGAGAAGAGGCCACTTGCCGTCGCCAATGATGTTCTTGATTGAGATGGACTGCGTTAGGAAGCAGACCGTAGGTAGTGAGAAGACGGGCATACGTTGGACTGATGAAACGTCACTGGAAGATCTAGACTTCGCCTCATGCTACTCACACTTGAAAACATGCTAGAGCTAACAAGGTGGTAAAAGAAGCGAAGACGCGACCTCAGGTGAACGTCGAGAAGACAGACACAGGAGATGAAATTACCCGTTTGATCACAGCAACAAGCACCAATCGCCATCTGCGGGTGACATCTGAAGGAAATCACCTATTCCACCCACCTGGCTAGACAGAATCGTTTCAACTACAGATGGGAGACATGGGTGAGGACATTAAAGCCTGTGAGGGTCAGAAAAGCAAGACAAACCTCAGTTACTCTGAAATCAGTGGGGAAATCTGCTGCAATCAGCATAGGTAAGAAGATTCGAATTTTCAACACTAATGTCAGGTCGGTGATTCTATATGTTCCAGATACTTGGTGACAATGTCATAAAAAGCATGTCCGACAGGCTTTCCGGTAAACTGTCACTGAAAGCTGCCTCAGCTGATTCGAAGCTGAAGATCAGATGGCAGTGTGGGTAGAAAGTATAAGAAATAGAGGAATGTAGAAACAAACCAAACTAGAGCATATCAGCCAACAAATATGCTAAAGAAAATGGAGATGGACTGGACACACTTCAACGAGGCCTGTGAGTCACTTCGCGTGGCAAGCCCTTGAGTGGACCCTCAATGTGAAACGAGTTGACATGGAAAAGATCGTGTGGGGATATGAAAGGTTATGGTAGAGTCATCTAAAATAAACTCCGAAGAAAAGAGCGAATCGGAGATGTGGTGCTAAGGCCCCATGTCTTACCAGGAATTCAAATGACCAATAATAATGTGGTAATGCGTATTTTTAAAAACATAGTGAGAAAGGTAGAGTTTTTCACAACCTGTTTACTAAATTAGTGAAATATTTTTAGAAAGCCTTCACTAACCCCTAATAACTTTCTATAGAGATAGATAGATTCTTGAATTGGCCTATCCAAAAAATTATGATTAACACCTCTGGCTGTTTGCACTGTATGACAAATTACTTAACTGTTGTAATTGGGATGAATTAATCTTCCATTATTTGCACTTTGAATTAACACAACTTGTCATAGTTCTTTTCTCATTAAAGTTCTGAATTCGGAGTAAGAACAGCTTTGAATAGCAACAAGATCCGAGAAAACACCGATTGTTAACTTTAACTTTTTCAGTAAGTTATTTCAAATATGTTATGAAATCTTGCTTGAAGTCAATCGCATTCCCGCAAATGCAACTTATCACTTTTTATTTGCTTAATGTAATTTTGTATTTACTGCTGATTAATTTTATTGGACAAATGGCACTTGGTTTGAAACCTGGTGGGAACATCATCAGTCACCAAGAATGCCGGCATATCCAGATGTCAAGTCTCAGATAGGACGAAATGCACATCCTGGGTCTCATTGTTAGTTTCCCCCAACCAAATAACAACATGTGAATTGGGTGCCAAATATCAATTTAACTCATTAAGACTACAAACACAACATTCTTCTATTGGGTTAATTCATTAACTTTTCTTTTCAATATGAAAGCACAAATAAGTGTTGTTTAAAGGCAAATGTTACTAAAACTGTATTTAAATCTGTAAAGGACATTTTTCGAGACTTTAAGTTATATGAATAGCAGAAATTGTTCAAATTATATCAATATTTGGGCACCTAGTTAGTGTTAGCATGAACTTTTGAGCACAAAAACATCGTTTTATTTCCCTTGATTAACTTGCCACAATTCAGAGTCACCATTCATATTTGGTCGAAATATACCTGATGGCATCGCCACTCGTTTTATCTCTGCTTCACTGCGTAAATATGGAATTTGCTGTAGTTGTTGAAATTGCTGGGGCTGTTGCTGAACATACGGATGTTGTTGTTGGCGACAGACATAATTTTGTGGATCACTTGAAACGCCTGCTGATATATCACTCTGATCAAACGAACCTGGACACTGAAGAGCAGCTGACCTCTGTTCGAATCGATGAACTCCCTGTTGTTGCACAGATGGTGCTGTATGCAGCTGCTGCTCACATGAAGAAGGTCTGGCTTCAGACATCAACAAATGATCTCTAGATGTATCTTGTTTCATTCGTGAATTTATTCCAGACACATGACTGTTTGTACCAATGTTATTGACTATTTTGATGTTATTGGTTTGATGAAGGTTTTCCGCACACGCTGAAGAATTAGGGGAGTTATTTATAGCGCTCAGATTATTAGGTACAGAAGAGATAAGTCGATTGCTTGAACGTGATCGAGATAATCGAGGGATATCTGATTTCAGACGACGAGATGTTGTAAGACAACGAGTAGCAAACTTCAGTTCTCTCCACATACCACGCCACACTGCTGCCTACAATGAAAAAGATATTGTCGTTCAGGTTTGTTAAAATTCAAGTGATCATAATAGTTAAGATAATATCCGAAATACTTATAAAAAACAAAAATCATTTAGATTTGTACACAGCCTTTAACTGTTTAGTGAAAGTCATGTGAATCTTTACCAATGCACAATACAGAAATGTCACATTTGCCCATGAAAGTATCCCTCGAATCCACGTTCGTCTATCAAGCTACTATTTTGCTTTCAGAATGTATAAATTACGTTGTTTCCAGTAAGACAGCCGAAGAGGAAAATCACTTTCCTTTCAATGATTTTCAAAACACAGAAAATAATCAAATCAGTTATAATAATATAGGAAATAAGTGTGCTGAATGTGATGATGATGATTAACATCGCATGAATGTGATTTATCCCTGTTATCCCACAATTAATTATTACTAGTAATCTTTTCAGTAGATAACAAAGCATTGCTTAGAAGATAGAATTCGTAAATTTAAATATTCATTCTGTACTACTGAATTTCAAAAAAAGTTATATCATGCAGAGTTTATTTTTAAAAAAAAGCTTACTTATGAGTCTTAAAGATGCTACCTAAAGAGGCACTACCCATCTTTTTGAAAAATGGGATGGATTCAAATAAAATTTAATGAAATAGTTATAAGAAGGTGAGTTCATCTTAATTTCACCACTATGTCAGTCTTGGGAATTCACACAAACTGACACATTATGAACTAAGTCATAAAGGACACTGATTAACCGGAAACATTTAGGTTAGAATTATTTGCTTACCTTCTTTTGGTCTCTTGTTGCTACAAGGAATTCGATTATGGACACAGCAAATCCCATAACAAAGCCGATCAACAACATAATAAATACACCGCCAACTTGTTCCACTCCTAGTGGACTTGGAGCTTTCCCTGATTCACGAAGCAAAGAACATGGTTCTGTGATGTTAAATTCATTCCACCATACACGCTTCAGGTTAGCTAATATTTGAGCATTTTGCAGTTTTAAAATTGATTTTGACACGGGATCTCTCCAGGGTGAACCTTTAAAATGTGATAAATTAAGCAGAAGTAAAAGTGTGTTAGTTAGTGAACTGTTAAAATATAGTTTATCCCACAAAACACACATCACTTCCACTTGGTTCAATTTTATAGATTATGTAACTTAATTAGCACTATGGTTAGAGTAATCTTGAGCTATATTAGACCAGTGATTATTTGTAGTAAAAGCATTTTAACGCATTGAATAAATTTCAACAGAAGTTATTTTGCATCTAAACACAGCTCGGATGAATGATGAAAACACTGATTAGACCATAATTATGTTAAAACATATAATTTTATACTGCTATTCGTTGTTTTAGGTCGTATTCTACAAATATCAGATTTCATATCAGATTTGATAGAACTCACCAAATTAATGGTTGAGTAAATACTTCACAGTGGTAATATAATTATCCATTCCCATGGAAGGGAAAAGGTGGATTCTAATGGTTCCTAACCATGGTGGAACGGGATAAAACTGAGATTATTTATACCATTAAGTGGTAGATAAATCAAATTACACTGAAATATCCACATAGCTATATAAAAGAAAGCATGTTAGTATCAGCAAATACTAATGTCAAGACAGAAAATAAGTATTCACTTGATCATGGCATGAAGTTACAAGCAAAGATCTGTACAAGTGTTCATGATGTCTTCAACAATTACAAAACAACAAATACGGAGATTGTTCAGTAAAATGAAACTCGATTTACGAAGAAAGAAAAGCTGAAACACGTAATATAGTATTAAATTGTTACACTGTGTACAAAACTTAGCTGTTTTAAAATATAAGCAAACGTTAGTAGGGGCTGAACGTCCTTTAAAAGTGACTGACTAGCTTCCTTGTCAATGAGTGACGTTTTATACCCATTAACAATCCCCAGAGGACACGTATTTGTATGAATAACGTCTCGTCTCACCAACTGATTAGCGATAGTGAAAAAAACTATGTTTGTTCTGTTAGCATTAATGGTTTATTGGGTCATTCAAGACACGCTTAGTAAAATATATGACCAAGGGGTAAGTCAGACCAACTGAAATGCCATATGAAATATACATGACAGACTTTACCAATTAATGTAAATCTTGTATAGTTCGTCTATACATTCGTGAAAGTTCACAGAGACGAGGTAGTGATATCATTTGTAAGTCGTGACTCAGATGTTGTCGTGCAGGGAAGTAAGATTGAGAATAGTGTACAAATTTCCTAACAAAGTTTAGATTAGAGGCATGTGAAAGTTAAATTTTCATTAAAAATTAACTTAAGAATTATATTTTCTTGTGTGACTAAATATTCTAATTTATCAGATATCACGTAGATATTGTGGTATCGAGTAAATTTGTTATTATTTCATTTATTTTATTTTATATTTATTATAGCTTGATTCCATACAGTATTTTGGTACAAGTATGAAATTCTCAGCATGTGATATCGGTAGCCCAAATTTAGCAGGCCGACCATAGATATCAGGTGTGCGTCGGCAGGGGAACGAAACCCTGACCATGTGCATGGTCGGCGAAAGTCCTAACTCCTGTGCCACCAACGCAGATAATGGCTTAATGTATTGCTGAGAATGAAAGTGATAAACCATCCAACTCAGAAAACACAATACTAAACACGATGAGGCCATTTCATCGTAGCACAAAATTTAGATAAATTTAAGCTAAAATACCTTATAAAAATAAGAAACACGGAGGAAGCTCATAGATTTTTCTATGCATACAACCATAAGGTAGTATGGTATAAAGTTGGATTCATATGTTTGCAAAGTAACTGATTATCGTACATTTATCCACTTGTTGAACATGTGATTAGCACGGCAGAATAAACGACATTTAATGAAGAGATAGGAGTTCATTCACAAACAAAATCAAAGGACGATGAGTAAATGAATATTAGATGCTTTTATTAAAAGTATGAAATTATACTTGACAAATCATCCACCGAATAATATTTTACCATTGTGTGCTTTAGTAAATATTTATACCCACAGTCTTATGTAGTACATAGACTGTTTTCCATGTGACTTACCTTCTTCGTAATGACTTAATAATCACATCACAACAATAAGTCGAATAATTCATAAATTGTACTTTGTTTATATATACTAACCTTGAGGGAATCCGATACCATAACCCTTAGAATCAAGCAGAGTGCCAACTTGAGTTAAACGACAATCTCTTTGAGCGTAGTACTCATTCCAAGTTGATTCTAAGATAAAGGCGTAATTACCTTGAAGAACACGATCAATGCCTTCTTTTGTTGTCGATACAGTTGCATCTGGATATTTATCCATGAATTCACCCATCTTCTTAAATGTCGGCAGAGATGATGTCTAGTTTTAAGACATAAAATTATATTTCATGTTTATGGATAACTACTTGACTATTTTATGGGGTAAAAATACACCCAAAACATCTAAGTAAACATCATACATTGAGAAATCCTTCAATAGATGAATGTGGTAAAATTTATACGTAGCTGATGTTTTAAGAATTTGCATTAACTTCACTGTTAACAAAACTTAAACAATGTAATTCATTTCTGGAAATATTGTGTACTGATTTGCCATTCGTCTTTCTTTTCACCTATTTAAAGCTCAAGATATTTGTTGTTACACTTCACTTTATAGAGCTGGCAAGGCCAGACGAACTGTGTTAGTGGTTGAAAAACGTGCTGAAAATTGTGACGGTAAAGACTAGCCTGAATAGCTCACAAGTATCCTGTGACACCAGTCTTATGTTCATATATCAGTTGACCTGTTCCCGTGAAGCTAGGTTTATTCGTCCTTCGACGCGTTTAAAAGCATTCAAGAACACTATCTTGCATGGCTGCAGACAGGTAGGAGCGTATCCACAAGCAAAATAATGGTTGAACACATCTATCTCTATCTCAACAAATTCATACTTCAAAGTGACCTATAAATTAATGACCAACCAACCATGGACAATACGTTCTCACATTCTTTCCCATTAATGAAGCCATAACTATCCAGATAGAGATGCGAGAGCTCAGAATACCAAAAAGAATTCTTCAACCAACTCCACTGTCATGGTGATGGCCCTACAGTTTCCATCCAATTTTTTCAGGGGCATTTTCTTTAACTCTTTCTAAATCTTCTATTCTTTCAAGCTCTTGCGTAATATCATATTCGACTTTCTTCATACGCACCCTGAATTTAACTCTTTTCTTAAATAATCTATGTCATTGCATAACTCCATAACTCTTAAACAACTTCTCCTACGTATTGATAATATTAGCAACTATGAAAAATTGTATATACAAGCGATTGTATAGCTAAAGAAAGTGAGAATGTTTCAGCCGAATTGTTTCTTTTGTTTTCATCAATGCTTTAATGGCGATTATTCACGAATTAAAGTGGACTTGAACATAAAACCGACAGCTGATTGGTTATTTTACAGCACATTCGAAATTTTAACTATTCCGTTTTTTGTTTCGAAATATGTTTCGTACTCCCTTTTTGAATGTACACTGTTCATTATGTCACGACCTAATTTTTAAACTTATATGCATTATAAGAACTTAATAAACAGTCCGTGTATTTTTCTATTTTTGTTTCCATGTCAATATTCCCTTGTTTTCACACTACACGCAAACTTACTTTTTCACCCAGAAGGTTACCCGTTATACAGAAATTTATAAGCAGTCGTCACAATTTATTTAGAATGACTTCGTCTACATTGTAACGTCATTACAAATGTATGTATCATACACTGGACTGGTGTGTCCAAATTCTAGTTCACGTAAAATCTTACGTCTCTGAATGGTTTAGCGAAATGTCATATACTGTCAGACATCAGTCTGATTCTGCCTAAAAAGTGAACACAAGGTCTTTTCGTCATTTGTAGACTTAAAGATACTGCGTCACTTATTACACTGTGTATCAGTTAAACTGAGGACATTTGTCAGATTGAGTAGTGATGCACGAATTATTGAAAATGTACAAGCGTATTGTTAAGTCAGTTATTATAAGATAACATATGCGAAGTTAAAGTTTGTCATTTCCAAGGGCAGAAAAATGTCAACTCACTCGGAAGAAATCACGACTTGATCCACTTTTTAAGGTGCCATATTTAATCTTTTCTTGATTGGCTAAGTCTTCAGCACTTTCAATCGGTGATTTCATGTTTTCAACAGTTAAAAAGGCAGCCAAATTAGCCGTATATGTGGCAATAATAATCAAAGCGAAAAACCACCATACTCCTGTCAGCAGCCTTGTTGAGGTAGCATGTGGCGCCAGTTCAGTACCTTAATTTAGAATAAATTGCTCAGTCATTAGAGAATGAAGATTAAAAATGACTGGTGGAAAAAGGAACATTGTAAGTTCTGAATTTCGACTTCAGTGAAAGAAATATTTCTTAATAATTCACAAACCCTAACTCATTATGTATTTCTACCAGATGGAGGCATCATGAGAACTTGTTGTCTAGTTTAAGTTACACTGGCCGTCAAACACAAATACAAACCCAATACCGCTTCCTTTGTTTCTTACCAACTTTTTAAGGTGAGGTAAATCTCAAGTTGTGTTTTCCCAAGGCCAAGTCTAACTTACTTGAGTTACGATACAAATAGGATACAAATAATAGATTTTTTTCAGATCGTGACAAAACACATGCGATGAAAGTTAATTTGGTCGAAATTTTTTCCTCGACTCACTGAGCGCAGTCTGTAATTCATTATAATTCTTAACACTTCAGACTTCAAGTATTGGTTTTGTAGGGATTTTGTTTGATTGCATGGAGGTTTTCATCATGAGCTGACATCAGTTAGTGAACCATTGGAAAAGCTGGGAGTACTAGACAGCCGCTTCGTCCTAATTTGAAACCCTTCATCAGTACGCACCCACCACCGGGGTTCGAACCCAGGACCTTCTGGTTACAAGGCGAGCTCGTAGACTATTGAGCCACTGGAACCCGATCCAATGGTCCTTAAATTCTAACTTCTGCCAATTCAAGACATGGCACGACCATTTCGCAATGTCTTCTTCGATGAGTTACTGCCTCATCTTCAACCTGCTGTACCCTATTGGCCACGGCTTCCCACTAGACTTCAACCAATTATCTGTAATGATGAACAAAAATTAACAGTCTTGCATTATTCCTACCTGAGTGACTACTAAAACTGTTTGCCTGAAATCTAAATGTGTATTACTTCTGTTTCCTTGGAACTCATTACATTTCATTTATGTGAATTACAAAACATAACAGACTACTTTTTATGACATCGGCTGCGTAGAACCATGAGTTCTTAGCTAACGTGATTGGGAATTAGTGTAAGGTCATTCTAGGAATAGGAATCTTAAGTGTTCACATACCTAGTGTTATATATATATTTCTTCAGCCTCAAGTGAGCATAACATATCCGTAGACAGAAATACGTTAACCAGCTAGTCTTTGTATCTTGCCTTTGACAGTTCTAAATTGGAACGAAGATACCTTTTTTAATTTATAAAAAATCCTTTTTATGCGGCTTGGTTTAATCTGATGATGAAAAGTACCTTAGAAATACTGTATGTATGAATGCACAACAAGGATATTTAAAACAGATGGGACTCACCTTGGTTGAGCAAAGCAGACACATTATAATAAAAGCTGTTCAATAATGTAAACTGATTTTTTCTGGTGTCTCCCCTTTCATCACACGGATGCGGAGCTGTCCATTCATGTGGAGACAGACGAGCTGCCACAAATAAGCATAAGCATACAGCTAAATATGTGACAATTACGTATAACCAAACCTAAAATGGGAAAAAACTGGTCCGTTAGGAGATGTTTACCGCTTTCAGTTGTGCTCCAAACAATAACATATTAGATGCCAGAGTAAAAGCAAACAGATGTTGGTAACGTTTGTTTATCTATAATTAGCAGTGAGATTTAGAATTCTGACTTTTACTTCTATGTACCTGCATCACGAAAAGTGATCATTTTCTCAACAGGGTTTATATGCAACACTCATCACTATTAAGGCTAAAACCTCATCTAGTAGTCTACACACCCATATAAGTAATATTTGCGAGTGAAATGTAAGCCAATTCCACAGTGACAAGTTGCGCATTGGATTAAAGTCAATGTTATAAACATAAGCTTTATGTTTCACTTTGTAGATAATCTTGAAAGACGACTCCGGTGGAGCTACGTGCCCTGAGTTCACCAAATGCTCGAGAATTTAGCTAGTAATTGTCTTTCACTGTCCCTTTGCTAACCATGCCGGATAATGTTCACAGATGCGTTTGGAAAGCGTGCGCTTTGTACGACCAATATAACTAGCTCCACACGAGCAGGTGAATTTATAAACACACATTGAGGTGGCCCAAAGCGGCAGTTTATCCTTCACACATCCGTTGATCATTTGTCGGCTGTGGAAGTTGATACGTAGCTCAGCCATAAAGAAGGCTTTCCTCAATGATCTGCATAAGCGATTCTTTAGGATCTCAGCTGCAGTATCACCTTTAAATTCAACACTCATAAATAGCAGTTTCTTTGGCACAGTCTGGATTCTTTCAGGCCTTTCCCTTAACTTTATGTTTTTCTCGATAAATCTTGGAAGATATCCATTCTCTATGAGGACCTGTCTGAGTCGCTCCAGTTCCCCATCGATTGTATCACTTGAACATATCCTCCTTATTCTTGAAGTTAAGGAATGGATCAGATTTCTCTTTCTTCTCAAAGGGACCCATCTATGGAAATTTGTGTACTGACCAATAAACCTTATTTAAATTGATGTTTGCACTTAAACAAAATTCTACTGGATTCAAAATAAATGCCAGAAGAATTAACTCATTAAAACTATTGTCTGATCTACTGTCAAGTAATGACAAATGATCTCAAGTGAAATTTATCAATATACTCTAAGAAATAATCCAAATTCAGAAACCCTTCGTTTTGATTTGAAGTTACATAAAATGATTAGTGAATCCAGAAAAACAAAGTTGTATTCACACGTGAAGACCGGTTGGTATTTAAGGAGTATTACAGTCGCTGATTTTGCACTGTATAGGATGCGTTTATTTTACTAATATCAGAGTCATTTTAATGTATATCAATCAAGAGTATACATAACAGTTTTATTAATTGACTTCACTAAAAAAAGAACAAAGTGAACAGCTTACCTGAGGTGAAAGTGGTTGAAGAAATGAAAATAATGAAGGTTTTTGACTTTTAGGTCTTGTAAATAAAATACTTCCACCCAATGTCATCCAAGGAGTACTAAAGTCGACAAGTTTTTCACGTTCATATGTTATTGTGAAACCAGCAACAGCCATATCAGCTTCCTATGGAAAAGAAAGGGGTTAAGTGTAAACTTAGTTCAGGGAGAAAAAAATCTTTAACTAAGGGCTTTGTGACCTTTTAAATGGGTGACAATTGTGATTTACACAAACTGATACCATAAACTAATATAGTATTAAGGCATCTCACATACCTCACGGATTAATTCGCCCATAATACCATTGTAAAAAACTGTTCCATTTCCAAAATCTATTCCAGAACCATACTGACGGTCAGGTGTTATATGCACTGTATAGTTAAAGCCTACGTCTGCGGCAATTTCATTCAACAAATCAATACAGTATCCCATCCATGCATCCGGAGTGCCGAGAGGTCTGTCATAAGCATCAAATTTGATTGGAATCATAAAAGGTGCATCCTAAAATTTCAAAATAAATAAACCACATTTAGGTAGAAATGAATACTTTTCGGTCTGCACTTATTGATATACATTTCTGTATCTCGTTTTTACTAAGAAGTACAAATACATAAGGAAGTGTAACACTTGACATTTACCTCATCTATTCTTGAGGTGTTTTTTTAATTTACTGTAACTGAAGTGAACAGGTATGCATTTCTGAGCCGTTGTAGATAAAGGTTAGCTGATGCTGAGTAAGACACACCTTGTGTGTTTTGTTTTGGTGTGATCAAAACAGGAAAAAGTCGTTTTGATTTCTACTGGCTGATGAAGACAGACAATCCCCAGTTCACCGAAACATCGACGCCTTATGTCACTAGAATTTGAAGATTGTAACAATGTCATGACCATTTCGATTTGAATGTAGATTAATTATTTGTCAGGAGATATGTCTATCGGTTTTAAATCACCTCAATTAAAATGTCTTGAACGATTGTTTCATGCTCTACGTTTCTTCTACACGTATTTGTGAAATTTCAAAACACTTAGCAGTATTTCCTCAATCATTCTCTTTGTTGATAACAAGCTATTTTATTAAAATAAAACCTGAATAGCGCAGTGATAAAAAAACATCAGTTTGATTCAACAATTAATTCCTATCAAGGACGTAACGTCATGAACATCTTGAATGCCTATGAAAATCCTAGATATAAAACTGATTCTCACGTAACCGGATAATTTAGTGTTGTGAAATAATGCAAGATTCACACCTACTATTAATACAATCACCAATAAAACCGTATTAAAATCAGTCATACCTTATGTTATTAGAAAATATGCAAACGCGAACTTACAGGTATTGTAGTCACCTTGAGTACTACACCTTTGGTTTTAGGCAGCTGTTTTGGTAATGTGATTGCAGGCTGTTTTGCAACTTTCATTCTCTCATCAATATTCCATACCCCAGTCTGTTAAGAATAATTTTCAAAGGGATTATAAACTGTAGAATCCGAAAATATATTTCTGTATCAGTAACACAGTAGTTTAAGGTATTTAACTAAGATGTGAACTGTTTTTTATTGCTTTACTTACCTAGTGGAACATAGGGTTTCAAGCATGAGCTTTGGAGTTCCAGTAGCAGTGATGTTATTCTTTTTACGGGGACGGGGTAGTTGCTAGCCTCATGTTCAACCTCCCCTTTTAACCGGGCCTACTTCCGTCTTAGCGATGTGAAGGAGTGCCTCGACTGGAGGTCGAACTCCGAACAATGTGAGGCGTGGTTGGAGGGCATTCTACCGCTGAATCACCGACGCACAAAGTTTGGACTGATAATCTTTGATTCCTCTTTCAAAAATATTTTAAAATAGTGCTTATAATTAATGAAGTAAATGCTAATTACGTAGTGATGTAATAATGGTTTATTGGAACGTTGCACCATGTAGGCGTGAACCATAGTTATTAACAAACGTACTTCAAACAACAGTCCTGATGAAATCACCCCTTTTTCTTAAAATAATGCTATAAAATTTATCAAAAAGACAAATAATGTGGAACGTGTTTCAAGACTATATAACAAAGGAATAAGTACTGCGATTCGAAATGCTAACGTTATTTTACGAAGGCATTCCATATTTATTTTTCTTAAAATACAGATAGAAAAGTCACATATTCTGTCGCTCGTTAATTACGTATTGGTAACTGAAATACCTAGGAAAACTGTATTACAGCGATAGAAGAAAATTAAAATATGTCAAACAATTGTATATTGCTAACGAGCGTGTAAAACTTTTCATTTAGGAGCATATAATTTCCTCATCATTTGGTGAAGACGGTTGCTTTGTTTTGCATGAACTTGGGTGGTCACTGATGGTTTCTTACCAGTCACTGCCTTTTTTGACTTTATGACAATCATCTGAGAGTTATAAGTTAAAATGTACATCACATAATAAATGATCAAATCAGTTAAATCTATGTGATTATTTAATTTATGCAGAGCAAACTTCCACTTACTGGTTTAAATCCACCTTGTGTAAGTTCCAAAGTAGTCAAATCAAATAGTGTTCTCAGACCATGTTTATCGAAACGGAATGGACTTGTTAAACCACGAATTGTTTCGGATGCTACCTAAATATTTTGAAAAGATGTACATGCATTCTAGTGTTAGTGATGTAGTCTGAAACATGTCATTGTTATTTGTGGTATGTATGCTTTATTGAGTACTTGGATGTGGCTATGCCAAAATCATTCAACCTTTTCTAAGCATATGAAAACGTTAAATTATGTGTTATTAAACTCCATATTATATTCTTCCTCTGTATTCACTGTTTCTAATTGAGACGTTTATCGACCATTCGAGACCACATAAAATCAGCTTCGTTATCCTTGTGTATAAATTTAGATTTGACAATAACTGTTTATCTGAACTCAAGTGAAATCTAAGATGCAACTTTAAAAACCCTGGTAATCAAGCGAGAAATCTTGGTGAGATAAAACGTATGTCTCTTGACCGAGTAGATTTAATTGTACTTTTTGATTAAATGGACTTTTATGAACTTAGAGTGACCGAACCGACTCATGATCAAAGCTTTCCAATTTGATACGTAGTTAGAAATTACTTATTAGCTATAAATTCATTTCTTATCATGATATCAATTGATTCTAAAGTACTATTAAAGAATCTGAACTAACCAGACAGATACTTTGAGTATTTTATAAACTTGTTTATAAATGATTAGCATAATGACTTTCTTTAGTTCTGTAAAGACAGGAAGGACAAACAAAAGAACACCATAGAGCAAATTTATTTGATAAAGTCTCACAGTACTAGACAGTATTATTTACTGATGACGTTTTGAGTACAATTTATTACTGTTAACCTTGTCACAGTACTCCCACAACTTTCCAACTTCTTTTATATAGACGAGCAACAAATTTACTAGTCGTGTGAATGGATAAATGAAGGAGTGAGTACTTCGATGTTACGAGCAGTAAATTATGCTGAAAATGTCATCAGGAAACAGTACTGTCTAATACTGTGGGACTTTGTCAAATAAATTTACCCTATAAAAGAAAACAAATGTTTAGGGTGCTCGATGCAGTCTTAGATCTTGTTCCATCTAATAAAAATGGAAACCCAGTGATCTCAACCATTCAATCCAAATTTTTCAATTAAACTGAATGTTCACGTCAATCTAGACAGTGAAATTACGGAAATAAGTGGCTCATTGGTTTAGTCAGGTCCACTTAAGCGAAGTTACTTTAAACCTACAAATACACAAAAATTGTATCCCTTTGACCAGTAGTAGTTGACTTACTGATTAAGAATTAGTGAAAAGAATAAGTTTGTTAAGTACATGTGAGTAGAAAATTTATTATGATTTGCTTTGTTTACACCTTAAGCACATGGTGACTTGTAGTCAAGAATTTGGCTTCCAAGAAGCCTTAAAACGTCAGGAAATTTATTACATACTTCATTAGAATTTCATGAATATTATCATATCAGATATTTGTTACTATCATTAAGAATATGAGTTTTATTATTATTATTCCCTTGGTTTCCGAGTGGAACATGGGGCTTCAATAACTCATCTCCACTTTGTTCTGTTCGGTGCTCTCCTCTTAAGCTGGGTCTACCGTGATTTAATTAACTCTACGGATGCTTAAATTATGCGTTATGTATCCATTAGCCATTTTATTAACTGCAATTTTCTTGTTGTTACTGTTTCTTGAAAGCTGAATTCAATGTCCAGTCTCTATTTTTACAGTGGATCGTGTTCAGTTTTCTTTCGTGCAACATAAGACTTATCAATTTTGTTTCTTTTTCTATCTTGCTGATTAGTGGTACAGCCAATTAGTTATTAGTCGAAGTTGTTTTCTTTATCAGTATTAATTAAAAGTTGGAGAAACTCACGAAGAACTGATAGAATATTATGAAGCAGCTTAAGGTTTGGAATTTTGGACTGTTCTCAAATATTCTTCGCAAAAACAACACTATAAAATGGTAAATTGAAGGAAGAATACTTCTGACTTGTTCAAAACGGAAAATAACAGAACAGGTGGTTGTTTGATGACATAGAATGTTATTGATCAAGACAATTGTTTACTTTAGTCCAGGGACTGTGGACTAAACCCAAAACTTCGCCTTGGCAGTATAGAAATGCATTTTTAAAACTCTGACTTACTGACTTAACCGCATTGATCAGACTTAATCCAAGAGGCCATAAGCCAGGAGGACGTTCACAGCTCAATTTTTGAGTCAGTAATGGTCGTGTTCTGGTTACTGTACTGAGACCATGGGCTAGAAGTATTAGGCTGTCATAGATTAAACTGAACTGAATCTATTCAAAAAAAAGACAAGCATTTTCAAATAGGCATTTAAATATGTCATGAATAAATTTCTAACACATATCTCAGAGATTAAATAAATTGAAAGATTGTGAGAGACCACATTAAAAATCAGTAAGGCGACTACTTGAGAGTTTTTGAAATCCACTCAAAATAAATACAGGTTTATGACGTTTATGATAATAAGCTAAAGCTCTCCAACATGCTGCATTTGCTATCATTGTATTATAAGCGATGCTAGAAAGTATACTGAAAATAAAATATCCAATTCATTGTGACGATTTATTTAAAGTCTAGCAAGTCTTAATGGCATATGGGTGTTTCCATACCTAACTGGCCTTCAACCTCGTTGGTGTCTGAGTTTATATCCATTGCATCCGTAACCAAATGCATTTGAGAATTCAAAAAGGAATAATGAATAATAATATATTCTATTTGCAGCCAACCAATTAAATGTATGAATAAGTTGTCAGCATACAATCAGTAATTGGTTGGATAAACAAGCTACTTTGGAGTCACGACTGAGGATTGAAATCTGATGTTTCCTCTCAGGCGAAAGCTGTTATATATTGTAAGTTCTACTACTGATAATTACAAATATCAGTAAATTTATTTCTCTTCTTTTCTCATTAGATAGTTCCTGTTATAACAAATCTTCAATTATCATCATGTCGAAACAATACAAAGCAGCAATACATTGACTTACTGTAGGATTCCCATTTGACAAATCTTTTGAACCTATAGTTTCATGAATAGGTTTCCGATAAATTGACATTTCAGAAGGTCGAGCTTTGTTCATATCTAGTGTCATAATTTTCGGTAGGATAGAAATGGCTTTAATTCTTGCGCCAACATCGATTTTGAATGCAGTTAAATCTAAAGTTGCAATATCCTTTAAGGGTAAAAATGAATTTCATACTCAGAAAGTAGGTTAATGAGATACAGATTCTAAAAAAGAATTGTGATAGTTTAACATTTAGCAGCGAAATGAACTAAAAACGGGTCAAAATTAAACCATATTACTACATTACTATGATTTGAATTAGTTATGCTTGTGGGTGACCTGATATAGTCATCAATAGGAAAACGTATAACGTCCAGTTTTCAGTAGGCCTACCTTATCGGTAACATTTTCAGTAAAATTCATAACAAAGCTGAAAAAGTGGGGAAATGTTTTAAATGTAAAATTCAAATTTTATTCCATATTTAAATCTAGAGTACAGTGAGAAGCTTTTTCTCAATTTTTTCAGTTTATTTTAACTAGTACAGGTAACTTTTCAAACAGAGTGTATAGAGTGAAGACATAAGCAGTGCTCATAAGCTATTTCAATACAAATGATTTCATTTAAACTGAATTTCAGAACACATTCCTTGTAATATTTCAAACAGGCAAGTAAAATTTCATCAATGTTAAACGGCTGCATGTATCAGTGTAAATTTATTAACATACTGTAGATCTAAATGTTACATTATAGTAAATCTTAAAAGCACGGCCTCTGCTACACGTCACCTGTTGCACACCATGTATGCAAACAGTTGATGGATAGTTTTTCACTTTATTCAAAATACCAGGAATTACAACAGTTGAAAGGCCATTTATTATTTGCTTTTACTGATAGTTTTATGGACCACTGACTTTGTTTTAAATGTAAAGACATTTGTTTACCCCTCATTAATCATCATACTCTGCTGTAGTACTTTACTTTTCTTATTGCTTCCCAAACAGTCATGGACAAAGAAGGAAAGTCATACAAGCATTTTCAAGACTTTTTTCCATTCATTATTTATTGACACTTCTGAAAAGTAAACTTCAAGATAAAGCCGCGTCTTCTTCTGTGGAACTTTGTAATGAATGTTAATCGAAATGGTCAAAGAAACACTAGGTTTGTCTGGAAACCAATTAAAAATATTGGAACATGTTTTTTGTTCCCGTGATAAATATGGATGAACTGGATGACTAATACTTCTATTTCCCTTCAAGGATAGTCTTTCGGAATAAGTAAAGAAGATTACGGCTGACGTTATCTCGCATAGCCTTAGTCTATTCATACACACAAGTTTATGAATGATGAATATTTTGGATATGTACATATCCCAATGAGTTCTATTACCTTAAAAACATAGCTAGATAGCATCGGCTATTTATATCTTTGATAAAAAGTTTGTTGATTTACTGTTGTTTGACTAGTTAATACAAACATTAATCGAAACATTGGTCATCCCCTGTATCGAAGTTTATACAAAACGACTGGATCGAGATTATTCTGTTAGAAAGTAAACACATTTATGTGGAGTATAGATACATTTCTGTTTGCACATTTAGTTGCATTTTTTGTTTCACATGTTTTGATAAAATTAATTGTTTTGAAATGAACAAGGACTAAGTCAGACTATGTTTCAAGTCCTCGTCTGCACCTGAGCAATCGTAACACCATTTTACAAGTATAAATCCTATTATTAGACATTCCTTGTCATTCTTTCTCACTTTTGTCAACCATAATGGCAAATCTCTTCACAAGAATGATGGTAGATTGTATTTTGATGACGGTTTTGAGAAGTGTTAATCACATGTGTACTAGTACTCAAAATAGAAATAGTGTAATAGTGACTGATGATTCCTATGTCGTTTATTTTACTGAAATAAACGGATATCCAAACATGACTGTATTCATTAAATGGTTACATATTAAAAAGAAGCTTGTAATTAGTTCAGTGTTTAGGATGAGTTAATTTTATTTCATAAGGTTTTAGATTTAATATCTTTAGGCACTATTATCTTGAAGGATTCTGTAGTATCTGTTCTCTCAAATGACAGCACGTTCATACATAAGTCATGAAAAAAAATGCAAAACGTATTAAGAAATATGACCAAGCACTGTAGATTTAAATACTGTCCAGTCAGGTATATTCGTAAACTCAATAATAAAAATACTCCAGAACTATCAGGTATGATAGTAGTCATCCAAAGGAGGTAAACAGGTGAAATGAGATTAGGTGTTTGTTCAGGAAATACATTACAACATTATTATTGATGGAGTCAAATATTCGAAAAGACTCAAACTTCAGAAGTTTCACATTCTAATTATGTTTATTACATGAAATGTGTAGACCAGGAGGCAGTGTACATATGAAGTGATTCACAAGGAATCCCAGCCTCTTCATAGTTTATATCTACCTTTCTCAAAAGGAGAAAACTAGAAAAACAGGTAGGAAGAAAGCTTGACTGACAAGCAAGGATTTTCTCCCTTAAGATGATGCTAAATAAATTTATAAATGAACATGTTTCCTATGATACTTATTTGTGATTCTCACTGAAGAAATGTGTGGCCTCGTTATACAAACAAAAGTTCAAACAAATGGGCGTTGTAGATAAAGGCTTACAAATTAAATAATATGATTACACACACAAATCGAGTCTCAGGGAATATGTAACAAGACTGAGAGAAGCTTTATAAAAAGTGAATCAAAAGATAAAGATGAGAAGTTGGTATATTTTGTCAGTTAGCTTTGTATGAACTTTTCTTGAACACACCGATTAGGATTGTCAGTTCTAGTGCCAATAATTAAAGGTGTGCTCCTGAATTTTCTGTTTTTTTTTTAACAAGTATTGATCAGATCTTATCAGAAACAACGTACACTCAGATACACATTAACGTCTGATTACTTGAAGTATATATCCTTATAACCAAATAATGAAAAGCACGTCGCACAAGTGTGGAAATCACACTAAAATTTAAAGTAATATTCTTTTTGAAGGGTGATGAACAGTGTGTTCTCATCCTTACATAGAGATGAGAAAACAGATGATTCATTTGTTTGAATGAGGAGCAGAAATAAAAGGGAAGATTAGTAGATGAGGATGTAGACGCATACTGTTTGGTATTTCACAAGATTTGACATCTGATCGTGAACATTTCATCACCAAGCTTGTCTACATCTTCTGTAATAAATCTATGCATTTGTCTACACCGGGTTGGAGAGACGAAAAGATATTCTGGATGCAGACTTCCAACCGCAACAAACAGGATTCAGCAATAAACAAATCATGCGCGTGCCAGATTAAAACACTACTTATCATCACCGAACAAAGACTTGAATGGTAATCTACTCTGTAACTCGAATTCATTGTGCGTCGGTGGCACAGTCGTTAGGACTCGCCAACCAAGCACATGGTCTGAGGTTCAATCGCTGGCTGACGCACACCTGATATTGATGGTTGGCCTGATAAATCTGGACTACCAATATCACATACTGAAAATTCCTTAATTGTACCGAAATACTGTGTTGAATCAAGCTATTATAAAAAATAGGACTTCGACAACGTCGGCGGAGAAATAATCTGGTGACTACTTCAACAATACGAAGCGGGTGTGTCTCAGAGATCCATAAACCTCATTCACCAACTATATGATTAGGATACATGCCAACTCATGACAGAAAGCTCATGAAAGCTTTCTAAGTGAAGACAAGTGCAAGACGAGGTTGCCTACTACCAGTAATGGTTATCTTGTCTGTGGTGAGGGACTAGAAGAAAGACATACGTTAGAGTGACAAGAAGTCTCTAGAAGATTTGAACTTCGCGGAGGACTTATGTGTAATGTCACACAAACTCGAAGATCTATAGGCAAAAACCAACATTTTGATAGAAGAAACAGCAAAGAGAGGACTTCAAGGGAATATACAGAAGACAACAAAAATAAGCATCAGTCTCTATCGACGGGAAAGATTTGAAGGAAGTTACCTCTTTCACTCATCTGGCTAGGCATCATCATTTATACTTCAGGTGGGAGGCACGGATGAGGATATCAAAGCCTACCACGACCGGAAGAGCTAAAAAGACATTCATTAACGTGAAATTAGTGTGGATATTTGCTTCTCTGGGCGTGAAGAAAAATATTCGAACTTTCAACATTGTCAGCCATTCTATTGGTTTCAGAGGCTTAGTGCATCACACAAACCACTTCAAAAAGGCTGCAGGCTTTCATCAGCTGCTACCTATGTTGGCTCGATACTGAAGATCAGGTGGCTGGCTGACCGAAGTGGATAAGCAACAGGATACTGTGGCAAATATGCAGAAGGAAATGGAGATATTTTGCATACGCTCTGAGGAGACTGTTACGTGGCATTACATGCAAGGCTCTGGAGTGGAGCGCGAATAGGTAACAAGCTGGGCATCTGAGAGGGACGTTGAAGTGGTCCTGCCAGGAGATGAGAACATATGAGCAATCAGGGAACCAGCTAAAGAGGACTGCAGAGGATAAGATGAAACAGTGATGATCTGTTGAAGCCTTGTGTTCCACTCGGAACCCAAGGTAATAATAATGTGATTCCGTGGCATGCTGAAAGATATTTGGTCACTCAAACATATATTACACTGAAATAATTTTTCATGTTGACAGTTAATCTATGCTGTTCAGGGTGTTTTCTTCCTAGGATGGATAGCACTGATAAATCATTTATTTACGGATTCGAGAAATCGTTCAGAGTTAAAAGCTTAGAGTTGGGCAGCACTGATTACAGTCACGATAAAAATAATAGTCAAAATTAGTTCAATATCACCACAAACCACAATAATATAATATAGGAAACCAACATGTCTTTGGTTAGGAAAGTAAGAAGTCGACGTAAACCAGATACTCCATACATATTTACTCGATTACATATTTGCCAAATCACGAGCCCCCTATTTCTTGGAGATGAGTAATTTTTCGTCTGACCCGGGTAAAACGTGTTTGATATGAAGAAAGATATGAAATATTCTTAATTGTTGATGCTGATAACAGTCCAGCTTTGAAGCTTCATTATAGTAAATATTCACTCAGGGTATCTACGTTTCGCAGTTAAATCACTATTCGGCAGATACCTCTCGGTTTCGTGTTTCCTGTAAATTGTTATTCATTAGAAATATCGATTTTCAGTAGACAGGCATTTTCCAATGAATGAATTCATGAAAACGCTGCATGCTTTATTTCAAAGAAATTCTGGTCTTTAAAATAAGAAGATTCCTCTGAAAACTACGTAACTTCGCCAAACAACTCATTTACAAACACAAAATTTAATTAGTTGATTATCTTTTCATGATGTAATTTCATAACAATCAGTAATTACAGTTTAATAAAGAGACGTTAGGAGCATTTCTAATGATTCAATACAGTGTTCTACATTGAATGGTTAGATTAATTATTGTTGAGGGTTAATTAAAGCATAATTAAGCTTTTTATTTCTTTCGTAATTAGTATCAGCCTAATTCGCCGTGGGTAATTAGGATACATCCATTTAATTGTAAATTAGCTCATCGGAATGGTTATACTATCAATCAGTTGTAAACGCTAAGTGAGGTATATTTGACAACAGATTATAAAATGTTTTACTTCTTTTTTTATTACATGCGCCAGCAGAAAGCAGATCAGTTTAATTCTGATGCCCTTTCGTCTACCAAATATATTATGCTTTCTAGGCAAGATAAACAATGGTCTTAATTGGTCTAGGCCACTCCAGAGCTGATTTATCCGTTGTACTCTACCTGAAGTACAAGCGAGTGTTGAGGCGATGCTGCATAATGTTCAGTACCACTGCATTATCATATATTTTTTAACGCATGATTTTAGATGTGACTTTTTCACATTGTGAGACAACTGGGTTTATATTCACAGTCAACTTGTAGGCCATTCAAAAATAATGGCAAATCAAAATCACCTTAGCATAGACTCTGTCAAAATTATAGTTTGTTTCACATCAAAAGAATATGGAAATATGCAGTGAGGTGATAGACCTATGAACATCATGGTCATCTGACTGTTGAGTAAATAAACAAACAAATTCGTGTATTCAGAAACTCTCTGTATATGAATAAAACAGAGACTTCAAATTTTATTTGAGCATTACTCGATGAAGAAACCAAAGTTTCTGATGAATAAAGGTACAAAATACAGCTTTGAAAGTAAAATTACTTATCCTAGGGTAGCACAAAAATGAGGCAAATACGGCGACCAAACCTTAGACAGGTGCAAACATAGTCAGATGAGTGGGTGTCCAAGAGCTCGCAGCTTCTACTCTTTAATTCTGACGTTTAGTGGATTCATTCTTAAAACTTGACTTTTTCCATAATTTAGGTATAGTCTATCAGGTTAGCTAACCCCAGCATACCACAGTGGAAAAATGTGTCTTCCTTTTCAGTATTTCCAAGTGCATATTGACTTTTTAATCTTAAATAGATACTTCCATTAAATTCTATCGTGAATAAAATAAAATTGGGCTTACTACATTTTCTAAACTATTCAAAAACAACTGGCTAAACATGACTAAATTTAGCAATAATAAAAAACAGCGACTTCGTATCAGTATACTTTGCTTATTTGTTGCAGTAAATATGCAGTCCGTGCATACTGTATTTAAATGTCAACTGACATACGTGCATTATAACAAGATTATAGCACACTAAGTATGAATTCAGAGATTGAGCCATTTTTTATGAGCTATCAAATACGTTGTCAAGATTTCACATTTATCAAACTTAAATGTTTACAGAAATCAAAAATGTACACGCTTACCCAGTCTGTGAATATGAATGTGTATTGATAGCCAGTCATATTGTGCACATAGGCCTACGAAAAAAAGCGAAACAGTAATAGACAGATATATGTATCAGATGTTAGTGTGATTAGTAATAACGGGAATAATAAATTTCAGCTTAAGCTAACA